TTGAGTTGCTGGGGGCCTCAGCAGTCTGGCGCCTCTCTCCAGCACACTGGCCACTTAGAAACATTTTTAAGAGGACCTGAGAATCTTGGCTTAAAACAACTCTGATGAAGAGCCTAGAAAACCACGGTGGAGGGCACTTGACTGATAGCTGGACAGTTGCATCTTGAGGGAAGAGATGATTTCTGGATTAGGAGCCAGGACTCCTGGCTTCTCTCCCCCATCACAAACTGGTTGGCTAACTCTTCTCTCAGTGCCACTGACTCTGTACTATCTGACAGAACAACAAATGGGGACTAGGGGCACTAAAGTCCTAATCACAGGTCCTGATATTATGTGTAATTGAATTGTAAGCAACCTAAGTGCTGGAGATTTCACTCAAAGAAAAAAAAAACTTTTGCAAAGAGCTTTCCCAAATCTTTCAGTTTTCAGTGGCTCAGGACTTCTGGCCCACAATCACCAATGCCACTCTTTCCAACATTTCAGAATGGTGATCACTCACTTTATGTCTTAACACTTGCAATCATATGGCATTTGAGTTGGAAGAACTTTAAATTATCTAGTCTAACCCCATGGTGTTTCAGGAGAGGAAAAAGAGGTCCAGAGAAGAGAAATAAGTTAGCCAAGGTCACATAGGATGTTTGTTAATAGTATTTTATTTTTTCCAATTACATGTAAAGATAATTTGAACATTCTTTTTTTAATAAAATGTTGAGTTCCAAATTTTCTCCCTCCCTTCCTTCCCTCTCTCTTCCCTAAGACAATGAGCAATTTGATATAGGCTATATATATGCAATCATGTAAACAGATTCCCATATTAGTTATATTCTGAAAGAAGAAAAAGAACGAAAGGGAAAACTATAAAAAAATAAAGAAAATAGAAATACTATGCTTTGATCTGCATTCAGACTCCATAGATCTTTCTCTGGATGTGAATAGCTTTTTCCATCACAAGTCTTTTGGAATTATCTTAGATCATTGCATTTCTGAGAAGAGCTAAGTCTATCATAGTGGGATCATCACACAGTGTGGCTGTTACTGTGTACAATGTTCTTCTGATTCTGTTCACTTCACTCAGCAGCAGTTCAGGTAAGTCCAGGTTTTTCTGGAATCTGCCTGCTCATCACTTTTTATAACACTAATAGTATTCCACACATATACTGCACGGTCAAATCTGCACTTTGGGAAAATCATTTTGGCAGCCACATGGAACATAGATTAGGGAGGGGGAGATTAAGTCAATGAGAAAGCTATAGTGATAATTCAGGTAAGAGATGATAAGGTTCTGAAAAAAGGAAGTAGATTATGAGTGGAGACAAGGGAACAGATGTGTGAGATGTCATAGAGGTAGAAATGATAAGATTTGGCAACTGATTGGACATACAGAAGAATTGGACATGGCACCAAAATCCTTCATTGGGCCTAAGAGAGTTGGACATGACACCATTGTGGAAGACCTGGGTGACCAGAAGGACAGAGGTGCCCAAAACAGCAATGGGGAGGTTTTTTAGAGGACGAATAGGTTAGAGAGAAAAGATAATGTAATGAGATCCATAATGAACCTAACATGCCTGTCCGTGCTTTATCATACTGAATAACTCATTCCATCCCACACAAAATGAAAAGGAAGGGGGCACTTACTCACGGGTCACTACCTCCAGCTCTGAACTTGTCCTCCTAGGGGCACCTGCTACAGCCATGAAGTGACATGGGGATGGAAGGGGAAAGAGATGGGAAGAGGAAGGGGACAGAGTTTTGTAGTACACTGGATGTTGTGTGTGCCCAGTAGCTGTTAGTTTATAACTGCCCTGAGGGGCCCACCCATCCCTAAGAAAGGGGGAATGTGGGAGCTTGAACAGTGGAGGGAGGAAGCAGAATGTTGGGGGAGGAGGGCAGGCATGATGGTGTTGGAAACAACTCCACAATGGGCTATTTCAGGGGGGTTAGAAGTCTCTGATTTCAGGCTGACCTACATCCCTTGGGGTCAGGCCGTAAGTCCTATTTTGAATACTTCTGATTTATAGGATAAAGTATAAATTACTCATCCCCTCACAAACTGCTTCATACCCACCTTTGCAGATTTATTTCATGCTACTCTTCATCATGAGCTCTACTTACTAGCCAAACTGGTCTACTAGTTGTTCCCCAAATCCAACACTCCATCACCATTTCTATGTGAATAGCAGGCAAGTCATCCCCCAGTAACTGTGTCATGAGGGACTGGTGCATGCACAGAATGCCTCTGATACCAATGCCCATGAGGAAGAGGCTGGGAAGCCTGCTTCCAGGAGCGTCATGATGATGTGTGAAGGAAGCGCCTTGGAGAGACTTTGGAACAATCATAAACATTCAGTTACTGATTCTATGAAGTAAACAACAACCTCTTTCTTTGGTTTAGGTTGTAGAACCAGAACTTAGGGGGCTTTCAAAAGGCCTTAACCTCATCCTTTTTCTCTTTCTTGGTGGATAGCTCATCCACCATTTGCCCCCTTCCCTTGGCAATCTTGGGAGAGACAAATACTGTAAAGAGAGCGGTCTTGGGTATTTTGCCTTCCAAAGCAGATGTGTGGCCCTACGAAAATTAGCCTTCATATTTGACCTCAGCCTTGGCTCTTTTGTTTCAGTAGCAAAAGCAGTAACTGAGACAAGGATTCAATGTCAAATTTTTATGTGAACTTGATGGGACCAATACTATGTAGAAACTATGCTAAGTCTGAGTCATCTCTCCCCAGAAACTAAAATGGCATAGGAGAGAAAGTGCCCCCTACATGTTGGGGGAAATGTTTATACTTCTGTTCCTGCTAGCTCTTCAAAGTATATATACACCCTCCTAAAAGGTAATTGATATTCATTGATTCAATGGAACTAGGTTATTACTTACTCACTGGTGACTAACAGTTGGGTGAATGTAACTGATGGGGGCTCAAAAATATTAAGGTAGAGACATCCTAACCCTGAGTCACATCCTAGAATCCTAAGGGAGCAATGCAGCTGACCTGGATCTGGGAGAGTGAGCCAGAGCATATTTCGTACATGTGTAGTGAGCCCCTCTCATTAAATATCTTCCTTCAAGGGTCAATTCAAGTGATAGTCTTACCGTGAAGCCCTCCCTATTTCCTTTAAGTTATATAATTCTTTCTCTCTCTCTTAAAGTTTCCTTATACTTAATTTTTTTTTCTTGTGTTCCCTTCTCCCAGTAGAATATAAGCTTCTTGAGGGCAGGGACTATTGCATTTGGGTGTTTGTATTCCCACAGCTTAGCGCAGTGTCTGTTGATTTTAATTTAATTTGTTAAATTCCTATTACATGCAAGCTTTGAGATTCAGCATAGCAAAATTTATTGAGAACTGGCCTTGATACCAGGAAGATCTGAGTTCAAGTCTGACCTCTGGTACATACTGGCTGTATAATTCTGGGCAAGCTGATTGCCCAGTATTCTCTCTAGGTACTCTCAAAAACTATTGAAGATGAAAAGGTGCAAACTGACATTGGAAAAGAGAGTCTCCTCGACATGGAAATTATATCATATCATATCATATCATCACCATGTCAATGAAATAAGATCCAATCCCTATACCCACCCTACAATGAACAATGTATTACTCTGGGGTTTTGGGACACAAAGAATAAAAAAGAAATAATCTCTGCCCTCAAGGTGCTTACACTCTTCGGGACATACAGAATGACCAGCTGTTGTCTGACTTTGGGGAAATCATGTGAGTGTGCACGTTATGTGTTTCTACGTGCCTCAAAATCCCCCATTCTTCATAGGGACATGGTGAGTATCAGTCCAAAAACAGATATGGGATTGCTTTGAGGAAAGGATGGAGCCAGGTTAAGTCATGGAATTCTTATTAAAAACCCACACCCTGCTTAGTCCTCTATACAACAATCAATTAATGGATATGTATTTGTTAACTATCTTCTATGGGTCAGACACTTCTATGGGTGCTGTGGTTAAAAATAAAATAACAAGAAAAAACAGTCCCTGTCCTCAAGGAACTTACATTCTAGAGTTCATACATATTCATGTATAAGCACATACATGATTATACAGAATAAGTGCAAAGTAATTAGAGATAGAGGGCACCAGTAGATGAAGGTGGGGAGGAGATGGGCCAAGAAAAAGTGTTACCTATGTAACCCCTGGTTCTAAGGACGAATTATATGAAACTCCTCATTGGTCAAGTATCAGAGCTGGAGAGAGTGAGAGAGAAGAGAGATGTAGTCTCTTGAGCTCTTCTGGCTTCCAGCATAAAGATAGAAAGTAGATGATGCCTTCCTTTCTTCAAGTTGCTGTAGGGAGAAAAAGATTCTGGGAAGAAACGGACATGTGAGAAGCTGGCATATCGATCATATCCTTGTCCCCAGCTCACTATACTAGAGACTTTAGAGATTTTCCTCTTGGGTGAGTTCTGGCACTCTGTCTCAGTTATGGTGGCTTCTTCTCATATCTTCCTCTCTCCTCAGTGATCTAAAGGGTGGGTTGCATCAAACATCTTCTCTCTTGATGCTGGAAATCAGAAGAGCCCAAGAGACCACATCTCTCTTCTCTCCTGTTCTCTTCCAAACCTGGCCCCTTTTATGCTGGCTCAAGGCATTTGGTAATCAGTCTTCACCAATGATGAAAGAATTCCATACAACTGACTTTTAGAGCCAAGGGTTACATATAGAAACTGACTTGGGAGCTAAAAGTCTGGAAGGAAATGAGAGATTCCAAGAGGCAGAGATAAGAAGGAAGAATATTTGAGGCACCTAGGTTCTGCCACTGGGCCTGGACTCAGAAAGACCTGAATTCAATTCCAGCCTGTGATACTTACTAGTGGTATGAGACTGGGTAAGTCACTTAACCTCTATCTGCCTCAGTTTCCTAAACTGTAAAATGGAGTTATTAAGAGCACCTCCTTCCCATGGTTGCTGTGAACATCAAATGAGATGCTTGGCACAACTCTTGGCACATATTGGGCACTTAATAAACTCTGGTTCTCTTCCTTCCCTTCCAGGCATAGAACAATCAGTGCAGAGGTTGGAGAAGAAAATTCAATGCTAATGTGCTGGCCCTTTGACTTTGCTTGGAGCTAGAGAGGCCCTGTCTCTCATTATACTGCTGCATTTGGATCATTTTCCTTATGATGACAGTCGGAGTCATAACTCTAATAATTATAGCAGCAATAATAATATCCTGCTTGTGTCCAATACTTTTCTTCCAAAGAGCTTAACGAGTGGGTGGTGGGATGGAAATTCAATTCCATTCAGCAAACATTTATCGAGTGCCCACTGTGAATGAGACATTGTGCCCCACAGAGGATTCCAGCAGAAATCTGAATGAGCCCTATCTAGTGGGAAACTTTCTGTACTGGCTGGAGAAGTCTCTAGACCAGAGGGAAGAATTTCTGACCTTCAGTAAATAATCTAGTTCAACAAGCACTTACCCAACTTTGTGCCAAGCACTCTTCTAGGCACTGATGATACGAGACAGAGCCAAAAAAAGAGACCCTGCCCTTGGGATACTTACATTCTACAGGAGTTACAACATGAAGACAAATAAAGACAGAGTATATACAAATAGGGTAGCTAAGTGGTATAGTAGATAGAGTGCCAAGTCTGGAGTCAGGAAGACCTGAGTTCAAATCCGGCCTCAGATACTTACTAGTTGTGTGACCCTGGGCAAGTTACTTCACCCTGTTTGCCTCAGTTTCTTCATCTGTAAAATGAGCTGGAGAAGGAAGGGCAAACCACGCCAGTATCTCTGCCAAGAAAATCCCAAATGGGATCACAAAGAATCAGATATTACTTAACAACTGCACAACAAATACACAAAAAAGAATCTTCAATAAGAGGTAAGAAAGGTCCTGTCTAGGAGGTAGTTAGGGATTGCACACAGCTCAGATGTAGAGGGAGGGCATTCTTGATAGAGGAGACCACTTGTGCTCCCAGGTGGGAGATGGAAAGATAGGCCCAAGACATCTCTTTCTCGAGATTTTATGGGAAGGGTGCATGGAGAATGCCTTCTTGACTTGTGGACTCTACTTGGTGTCCTTATATGGGAGGTGAGGGGGAAGGGAGAGAATAAAGGTTTGTATAACACCTACTGCGTGTCAGTCACAATGCTTACAACAATGCTGAGAGGTAGGTGCTGTTATTATCCCCATTTTACAGTTGAGAAAAGTGAGGAAACTGAGGCAGAAAAAGGTCAAATGCACTCTGTGCATGGTGTAGCCCCCCCCCCCAGCTGCCCAGATCTCTGTCACTAGATGCTTACCTTGTCCATTCGGCAGAGTCTCACACTCAGTATCTTAGAATCATAGATTTGGATCTATAAAGGAACTCCAAAGGCCACCTAGTACAACCCTCCCATTTTACAGATGAGGAAACTGAAGCCCATGGAAGTTAGATGACTTGCCTGAGGTCATACAGGGCATAAATGACTGAGTCAGGATTTGAATGCAGACCTTTTTTAAGTGACAAGATCATAGGATTTCAGAAAAGACCTTAGCGTTTTCTGATAGTTTTAACATCTCAGTGTCTGTGAAATGGAGGAAAGGGAACAGGATAGGAGCTCTAGGAGTTATTTGTAAAGTGCTTAGCACAGTTCCTGACACATAGTAGGCACTTAATAAATGCCTGTTTCCTTCCTTTCTTCCTAGCTCTAACGACCTAAGAGTCCTGGGTATCTAATGCTTGTGTTTGCAATGAGATTATAAGATGCTCCTGGACTGACTAGAAGGCAAGGTTGCTAACTAGCCTGCCTTGGTATTTATTCATTTCCCCCCAAGCCAATAGATTTAAATGTCTAACTGACCTTTCAAATTCCTCTGGGTCCATTTACTATTTTCCCCCTTCTGGAACATTTGACATTTTTATCTGCAAACTGCTTCCCAGCCAATTTTTAGGCCACTTTTCAAGTATTTCTGAGAGGGTAGCCTTCTTCCCTATTGTACAGAGGGGAAACTGAGGTAGGGGTAACCAGGAAGGAACTGACCATTGAAGCAGATAGAAACGCCCTCGCTTCCTTGCCAGTGTTTTTAACTACTGGGCCTCAAGCGCTTTAGTTACAGCATGGGAGGGTGAGGAGCAAAGCAATCCCTTCCTCGCCATAACCCTGAAACGTCTGGGGACAGGGCTCCATGCACAAAGGATGGGCATGTGCCTCCACCTAGCGGCGTAACTGGCGAACTACAGCTCTCGTTCTGCCACGGTTTTGCTCTTTGTTCCCAAGAAATCCACGTTCTGTTGCGAGGCTCTGTCTGCTTTTTGTGATTCCCTGGTTCTGTACTCCTTTCGTTTTCAGATGGAGCATTTGAGGGTAGTGTCTTCTCCGTGGCTAAGCCCACTGTATCAGGTAGCAAAAAGCAGAACCAGCCTGCAAACACTTTCCATTACACCATGTTAATTCTGCCCCGATTGCCTCAAGGCTCAGACGCATCACAGAAAAATGCCACCCATTTAACTTATTACAAATAGGGAAACTGACATAAAAAAAAGGCACAGTCCTGGAAAAAGTCCACTGAGAGAAGCAAAACATCATGCTGAACTTGGAGTGAAGAAAACCTGGGTTGAAATCCTATGCCTGACGTTTGCCAACTTTTTATACTCCCATTAGTCAGATCACATCTGGCATATTATATCCATTTTCCAAGAACCATGTTTTAGTTTTAGTTTGGTTGTTTATATAGGCAATTAGAGTTGAGTGACATGTCCAGGTTCACAGAGCCAGTAAATGTTTGAGGTCAAATTTGAACTCAGGTCCTCCTGACTCCACAGCTGTTCCTCTAGCCACTGTGCCACCTACCTGCCCCCCAAGAATCATCTTTTAAAAAGGATGTTGACAAACAGAAGTGCATACAGAAGGCGCTCCAATAACTTCCTGTTCAGGTGCCTTATCATGGCATGAAGATGACTCTGGGTTCCCTGTGGAATCCAAGTTATAGTAGTGCATTCCAAACCAGGAAACCTTTGAGTCTGAGCTTGTGGTGGATTGTAGATCTGCTTTTCAAGGATCAGCTGGCTATGTTGGACAACATCAGCATTAAAGAGTTGACAGCAATCTAAGAACAGTTGTAGGCTCTGCTTGTTGTCTAAGGACTAAATTCGTGAAGTAGGGAAAAGCTCATCTTCACTGTACATAAGGTGACGAATTTATCAGCCACACCAACTCTCACAGCCTCTCTACCCAATTCGTGAAGGGGTGGTGTGATCCTCAATGGTGGAGGCAGGAACTACACTGATAAAATCACGTATCTCTGATGTGTTAAGTATAGAGGATCTCATTGGGATGGTGAGGAAATTGGACCCCATGCCATAGGATGAAGAACCAAAGGAACTCTTTGGTTTAGAAAAAAATATATAGCAGACCTGACTTCTGTCCTCTCAGAAAGATCCATGTAATGAGGATGTGGGGGTTCACCCGGATGGTCAGTTACCATACGATCCCTGGCTCAACCCTGAATACACCCAGGGAATGTAGTACTGCCATGAGAGACAAACACAAAGATAAAACCACAAGCTCAAGAGAATAGATGTCCCAAACCCCTTAAGAACGGGGATTGGTTCATTTTTTTGTATTTGTATCTCCAGGACCTAGGACAGTACCTGACTCATCTTAAGTGCTTGTCAATTGATTGATGGAAAGGTTTAGCTTTTTAATAAAAGGATAAGTCCACCCCAGAGAAACCATATGGTTACTTCTGAATGACACTTGATTTAGGCAATAATTCTGTTGACCAGCTCTAGGTCTGTGCTACAGTATGGGAGATCTAATTTGGCAACTATTTACTTAGAGCAAACTCAAATTTACAGTGTTATGGAGCAGCTTACCAGCTGGTGGTACAGCAGATGGAGTACAAGACCTGGAATCAGGAAGACTTATCTTCTGACCTCAGATACTTAATAGGTGTGTGACCCTGACCAAGTCACTTAACCCTGTTGGCCTCAGTTTCCTCAACCATCAAATGAGCTGGAAGCAGGCTTGCCAGGCTCATCCATGTGGAGAATTGCATCAGCCAAGCATGTTGATGTGCTCTGCACAGGCTAAAAAGGACTATACTTACTGACCAGTCCTTTATTACAATATTGCTTTTTCATCTAGGTTGCTGATATATTTGAAAGTTATTCTGACTTATGACATAAAATGTTAGCCAAAACCTCTTTTTCCATTAAACTACTTTACAATTTTCCCAGAAGTCCTAGTCACAAAGGGAATCCTTTGGCCAATAATTGATATTAATAGCACTAGATTACACTCTTGAGCCTGGATTTTCTGTTCTGCTGACCTACTCATCTAATTTTTAACCAGTACCAGTAGTTCTGATTTATAATATAGTTTGAGTTCTGTAAGTGTTATGTACCTACCCCATTTCTACCTTTCCCCCCATTTATTTCCTTAGATATTCCTTTTAATTCCTCCAAGTGAGTTTTATTATTCTTTTATTTAATTTGATAAAGTAACCTCTTGGTGATTTCATTGGTATGGTGCTACAACTAGGTTCCCATTAGTGTGAATGAATCCCCTGAAATCAGGGGTGTCAACTCACTGCCCAAAATGTTTAACGAAGTAGATTTTTTAAAAAATGGTACAACCTAGGTAATGTTAATTTGGGATTTTCTAAGTCAATATGCAGCAGAGATCTGTTTCTATTTGAATCTGACACCACTGCCCTGAATTAGTCCCATATATTCAAATTTGTTCTATTCAATATAATTACATAAAATATGGTCAATTGTTTGAGCCCAATGGAAGTAGGCAATTCGAAGTCAGATAATGTGATCATTTCAGAGGAGTCATTATTCACACTAATTAGAACTTCTGTAAATTACTTTAGTAATATAAGGGTGGGGTTGATTGAATAAATCAATTAAGTCACCCCCTCAAACCCATTTAAAGTAAGGGATAAAACAACCATGCCTGGTGTCTTAACCAGTAAGGGCACATCTCCACTAATCAATCACATGCTTTAGACTGAATGTTGATAATTCCTTAATCAGCTATGGTAAAGTTGCACAAAAAGAATATTCAATTGGCTAAAGAAACTTAGCAATGCCCTTTGGGGTCTATATAAAACCTAGGGTCTAGTTTAAGCCCCAA